ATTCCCAGATGTCTTACCTCCCTAAGCCATCTCTTCTACACTGTTATCTAGAATCCTTCTATGTTACAATATAAACCTTCTCTCTGAAGCACTGCCCCAATGTTCTAGAAAACATCAATTATACAAATTTTTCTACAAAAAGAGTTCTGTAGTCAAAAACACTGAGGAACATTATATATATATTTATATATATATATAATATATCCTAGTTTTCATCCTTTTTTTTTTTGTTGTTGTTGTTGTTTTTGTTTTTTTGAGACAGGGTTTCTCTGTGTAGTTTTGGTTCCTGTCCTGGATCTCACTCTGTAGACCAGGCTGGCCTCGAACTCACAGAGATCCACCTGGCTCTGCCTCCCGAGTGCTGGGGTTAAAGGTGTGCACCACCACTGCCCTGCTCCTAGTTTTCATCTTAAACAATATATATTACCAAATAAATTAGCCAATGAAATTCTTCAAAAAGAGTATTTTGTACAACCTGTGTATTTTTTTTTTAAATCATCTTCACTCTGACCTCCTAAGATCATGAATCTTCAGGAAAAATGCTGCCAAAAACTGAGTTCTGAATTGAAACAATGTTTTTATGACATTGGTTTTCACATTTGCCTCATGGTCAGTTTCTTTAAATCTCTTCTCCTAGTTCTCTGTTGGTTTGCTTAATATAATCTTTATTTAATCCACCTTAAAACCTTTTAAATAGGAAGTGATGGCACATGCTTTTGATCCCAGCACTTAGGAGACATAGGCAGGCAGATCTCTCAGGCCAGCCTGGTTTACAGAATGAGTTCCAGAACAGCCAGGGCTACACAAAGAAACCCTGTCTTGAAACCTCCTCACAAAATAACAAAACAAAACTCCACCCCACCCCCAAAAAAAAGAAAGAAAGAAAAAAACTTTTAGAGATAAAGCTGGATATAAATGAAAAAAAAAATACTTTTTAAAAAAATCTGAAAAATCAATAAGGCTACCCTTTATAAGAAAGGAAAAAAACAGAAGGACCATGTAGGAAGGGGAGAAAAGGCACAGTAGCTTCAGAAAACATATGGTGTGATTTTCATGAGTGACCTAGGAAAATGTCTTTGATCTAACAGTCTTGATTAACTCACTGTCTATCAGGATCCGAGCAACAGTCTAAAGCTCCTCCATGGTTAGGAGAAACTACAGAGGTGGAACAATGGTTTGGAATGAGGCAATTAAAATAAGTTTATAAGCATGAAGCTTAATCATTCCCTGGTTATTATTATCCTTGAGACACTAACAGATAATAAATATAAAATATAAAAATAATAATAAAAAGTACAAAACAAAGTGATTAACATTTAAAAAGCAATATCAGAAGTTATAATAAGGTGTGATGGACCCTGCCAGGGTGGCCAAGTCTCAAATCAGGAAGATGACCAAGGCTTTCTACTCTACCTGTGAAGAGACAGTTCAGGAATTAGATATGGGGCCTAGATGTCTCTTTGTGGGGGTGGATATACCAAGAAGGAACCTTAGAAACTACAAATGGAATCAAGGCATTCTCCTGAAATAAAGCACCCTTATTCCAGAGCACATACAGGAAAAACCCTTGAAAAGGATGCTAAAACGTGGGTAAGTGATTAATGAGAAACGCTATATTTATGGTCTCAGAGTACCTCCTCCCAAATCACTATTAATCTCATAGAGGAATAGGTTAACTTCACAGTAGAGAAAATTAGAAGCAATCATCCTGAGTGACTACTGTTCACTCATCAATGTGGCAAATGGACATTTATGCATCTCCTGATGAAGCCGAGAAACATCTACCTGTGCAATTCCTACTGAATCAAATCAGACAAAACCTAGTTGAAGAAGAGTCTACAAAATAACTCATCTAAACTCTTCAAATGTCACAGTCAAAGGGGAAAAGAGAATAAAGAATGATGATGGTATTAGAAGTGATGGTTCACACATTTAATGCCAGTACTTGAGAGGCTGAGGCAAAAAGATCTCCATGAGTTTCAGGCTAGCCTCGGCTACAAAATGAAATCCTATCTCAAAAAACTAAAAAGGAAGGCAAGACGTTTAATCCAAGCACTCAGGAGGAAGAGGCAGGCAAGTATTTTTAGTTTATGGCCAGCCTGGTCTACATAACAAGTTCCAGGCTAGTCAGGGTTACACAGTGACAGGAGGAGGAGGAGGAGGAAAAAGAAAAGGAAGATGATGGCAATATTGTGATAGCTGCATATAATATAGTTGAGTATAATGTGTGACCCTGAGTTGAAATGTGACTAGGAGAAAAGCAATCAAGAACATCACTTATCAATTGGTAGTATGTCTACATGAATTATAAATTAGATAATAATACTATTAATGAGGCCGGGCGGTGGTGGCGCACGCCTTTAATCCCAGCACTTGGGAGGCAGAGCCAGGCGGATCTCTGTGAGTTCGAGGCCAGCCTGGGCTACCAAGCGAGCTCCAGGAAAGGCGCAAAGCTACACAGAGAAACCCTGTCTCGAAAAACCAAAAAAAAAAAAATAATACTATTAATGAAATTACATTTCTTGACTTTGATAATGGTAATTTAGCTGTAAAAAGGACAACCCATAACAAATAGACACCTAAAAATGTAATTTAGAGGTAAAAGAACTTGGTACCTGTAACTACTCTCAACTAAAGGCTACAAACCTCTAAAATTGTACACACATACAATGGGTACAACAGAAAAGAAACTATACACAAAAGCAAAAATGCAAGGCTGTGGGCATTGTTCAGTGGCAGAGTGTATGTTTAGCCACGTATAAGGCTACAGGTTTCATCCTCAGAACCAAAAATACAATACAAAAATAAAACCAGAGCTGGAGAGACGGCTCAGTGGTTAAGAACACTGGCTGGTCTTTCAGAGGGTCTGGGTTTGATTCCCAGCAGCCACATGGAAGCTCACAACTGTTTGTAACACTAGTCCCTGAAGATCTGATGCCCTCTCAGCCCCTTCCAGAGCCAGGCAGGCACAGTGGTGTACAAACATACATGAAGGCAAAACACTCATACACATAAAGAATCAAATTTAGAAAAATGAAACCACCAATTGAGCAAATAGAATAAAATATAAGCAAACAGGAATGACTGCTAAGAGTCACATACTGTAAACAGTTTACATACTGATTTACAATCAGCAGAAAGATAAAATATTTGTAAAATGATTTGTAAAATATTACTATCCCTGATAGCAGGTTGAGGAAAACTATCCACTTTCTGAATAAGTACTATATTGTTAACCAAAATCAACAGCTTATTTTTTAAATTAACAAGCTTTCAAAGACCATTTTAAATTCTACTTGCTTTGTGAATGAATGTTACTCATTTTCTTGGAATATGGGCTTTTAGCCTTTGGCATAATTTTGTTCACTCTTAATGAAAATTTTTATGCTGCAATTGAGTATGAATTTTTTTAAAATCCCCTAGTCTGAATTTTAAGCTCCTACAGCACAACAATTAGCCAGGTGTGGTGGTGCACACCTGTAATCCCAGCACTTGGAAGATAAAGGAAGCAGGATCAGAAGTTCAAGATAATTCACGACTAGAGTTGGAAGCCAGATTGGGCTTTATAAAACTCTATCTTTAAGGGGGGCAAAAAAAAAAAAAAAAAAAAAAGGCAAGAACTGTATTTTACTCAACCTTTATAGGGCCTAACACAATTCTTACTACATAGTTCAAACCGACAAATAATTGTCAACAAATAACATGCAGCAATGTAAACTATGTAAAATGAATGTGAAAGCATCACTGAAGATTAAAAATAATGTGTATAATATGAAAAAAAAATGTGCTTTCTAACAGTGCTTAAAAAAGAAAAAAAAAGCAGCATACCACTAAGGCTACTATAGAAGCAGCAAGGAGAAGGAAGAGAAGACCATTTGTGTTTAGATGCATCAGAGTGCATAAGCACAGACATAAACATAGGCTAAAGACTCTAATCCATAAACATAGGCTAAAGACTCTAATCCAAAATGCTCCGTGATGTGAAACTTTCTAAGCAAAGTAACACTACTAGCAGAAAATCCTACACCTGACCTCACATGACAGTCAGTCAGAACACAGGTGCAGGGAAAACAAAAACAAAAACCTTACCTCAGACTAAGTGTATAAGGGTTATATGAAACATGTATGAATGTCATGTTTAGACTTGGATCCCATCTGTAAAGTCTCTCTCCCTCTCTCCACCGCCCTCTCTTTCACACACACACATGCACACACAAACACTAACACACATATACAAAATCTGAAATCAAGACACTTCTCATCCCAAGTATTTCAGACAGGATCCTCAGCTTGTAGCACCCAATAAGGGCAGTCAGGATAACTGAGTAACATGAATAGAAGACAATGTCTCAGAGCTTCAGAGTAGACCCTGAGTGTATATTGTAAGAGACTTCCTAGTAAAATGTCATAATGACAACAATATTGAAAACTATCTCCTGCTGTGGCGTTCACCTTCTAATAAATGGGATAACTACAGATTACCATTTGGAATACTTTTCAGAGTTAAAGGCAATGTTCTTCATAATTAGGAAGGACAGCAAACATAAACTAAGACTCCATACACACCGGGATGTACAGCCACCCACTTACAGCTCACCTCTGGCCACCTTGACTCTTTCTCAAATTTTAGCAATCATCAATTTGAAAAACACATTCCTTTTCTTGGATACTTGTACTTCCCCCAAACCAAAAAGGAAAAACACAAAAGTTACCATCTAGAAACTACAGTTGTGCCCAGCTCAACACTACTTACCTGATTAAAAACCATCATCTAAAATCTATCAATGATTTGATGAACATATGACACAAGGTAAGAATGGTAATCTATATCAAAAATAAAATCTCAGCTCAATTACTAAACAAGAAAAAAAAAATCAAATCAAATCAAAAGAACTACCAGCATACAAGTTTGGTTTGGAATCCCTAGAAGTAATGGCTGCTTCAGAACTGAGGCATGATGTCATCAGTATTTGTGTGATCAGAAGTACAGTAATTCTTACCTTGGGAACTCTGGGAGGACTCCGTGGAAGAGGAACTACTATCTGTATAACCCTGGGGTTCTTCTTTTCCTTCCTGAGCAGATGAACTACCGGCCTCTGCTACCCTAGATGCTTGCTGTAACGTTTCTGTTACCAGTTGCCTTGTTTGTTCACTAACAACTGTAGCTTGAAATGTCACTGGTTTGGGTTTAATGAGAACCTAGAAGAAAATCAGAAATATGCCCAGATGAAATTTCAGAATGCCATTTAAATGCTAAACTAGCCAGGCATGGTGGTTTATGCCTATAACCCCAGCACTTGGGAGAGGCTGGAAGTTTACCTCGACTTCAAAGACACCTTTGGCTAGAATGAAATCTTGTCCCAAAAAGAAACAAACAACAAAAGCTAAACTTAGAGGTCATTTTCCAGGCACAGAAATTACCATTATGTATATTTATTATTAGGCTTTTGGCCCAGTATTGCTTACCAAAGACTAATTTAATCCACAGATGAACTAGAGCTAAGCTATGTACAATAATTTAAATGGGACATGCCAAACGACTACAGTTATGATTCTTCCTTCTTTTTTTTTAATGTGTCTGTGTATGCATATGGTGCCTCAGAGGCCAGAAGAGGGTTTTGAATCCTCTTCAGCTGGAGTTAAAAATGGTTGTGACCTTCCCAATGTGGGTACATGGAATGAAACTCTGGTCTTCTGGAGGAAAGAAAAGGGAAGAAAATTTCTACCTGAGAATTTTAAATATTCAAAAGCCAAGAAAAGTTAGCATATCTTACAGCATACCTGTGTTTTCCCTTGTTGTCCATAGACAATTTTTGTTGGGATGATTTTAGCTGCCGGCTGGACTGTGGAACCTATTCCTTTGGGCTGTGTTACAATCATTTTGGTGATGGGTCTTGTAGCAGTAATGATTGCTGGCTTTGCTCCAGTTGGCACTGTCTGAAGAGTCTTTTCTCCCTAAATTGAAGTCAATCATTATTTAAGATATTTATACGCAGTTAAATGATTAAAAAAACAAACAACAGTCCACTTACTGAAAAAGCACAGAAAGATTTTGCCAGGATGGGAAAAGGACTATAGATTATGCAACAAAGTACACGATTTCTTAAGTGATTAAAAAAATCCTGGACTAAGTTGAAATAATATTACAAGTCATCTGACCAACTTTCTAGCCAAAAAAA